GCTGGTGGGGCTGTGGCAAAAAGGAACTCTTCTCCATTGTTAATGGGAGTGTAGACTGGTGCAACCACTGTGGAAATCAGTATGGAAAGTCCTCAAAAAACAAGGATTGGAGGTCCCATTTGATGGAGCTATTCCCCTGCTGGGTATATCCTAGAAGAATTGAAAACATTATACCACAGCAATATATGTGAACCCGTGTTTATAGCAGCACAATTTGTAATAGCTAGATCTTGGAAACCACCCAAATGCACATCAACCAAGGAATGGATAAAAAAGATGTGGTCTTTTTCTACAATGGACTACTACTGAGCCATAAAGAAGGATAAACGTGAGTTTTTTAGGTAAATGGATGCAACTCAAGACCATACTCATAAGTGAAATAAGCCAGACACACATGTGCAAGCATTGTATTGTCTCCCTAGCATGAGACGCTGAAAGAGTACATAAGATTCAAAATGTACACTAGAAATAAAATGGATGAAACTGTTCAAAAGAAAAGAGAAACTGGAATGGGAGAAAGGAGAAAAGAAAGAAAGGAAAAGCATATATATATAAAACTATAGTTATATATAACTATATATACATTTACCATTGTGTGTGTGTGTGTGTGTGTGTGATAGTTAAGATAGTTACACTACTAATTTCTCTTAGTTTGTTGTAAAGAAAGGTTTGGGCTAATATTGTTTGGAATAATTAAATGCCTATCTTGCACTCTGAGTAACTAGTTTATTTTATTTTTTAATTTTTAAAAATTTTTTTGGTACCAGGAATTGAATTCAGGGCCTTGCACTCCCTAGGCAGGCACTGTGCCATTGAGCTACATCCTTGGCCCTCTGAGTAACTAATTTAAAGATAACAATATACAGTGTATTAACCATTGTTACCCTCCTACTTAAAAAAAAAAAAATCTCAGAAGAATCCAGGCCTGGTGGCACATGCATGTAAACTTAGCACGGAGTGGTGGGTGGGGGTTGGGAAGTGGGGAGGGAGGAGGATTGTTATGCATTCTAGACCAACCTGAACTATATAGCAAGACCATGTCTCAAAAAACCAACCAAACACACACACACCTCTCATGAGAAACACAAGAGTAACTCTTCACAATATTGGGGTAGGCAATAGTTTCTTAGTTGTGACACCTAAAGCAAAAACAAGAGCAAAATAGAAAAATAGAATGTTATCAAAATTTAAAAGTTTTGTACTTCAAAGGATACCTATCATGAATACAAAAGACAATGTACAGCTGGGCTTGGTGGTGCATGCCTGTATTCCCAGCACTTGGGAGGCTGAGACAGGAGAATTGCCATAAATTCGAGGCTAGTGTGGGTTACATAGTGAGTTCAAAGCCAGCCTGAACTACAGTGAGATCCTGTCTAAAAAAAGAAAAACAGACAATGTACAGATTGGGAGAGAAGCCAGGCATGGTGGCACACACCTGTAATCCCAACACTAGGGAGGCTGAGGCAGGAGGACCATTCCAAGTTTGAAACCAGCCTGGGCTACAAAGTGCCAAGGCCAGCCTGAACTGCATAGTGAGACCCTGTCTCAAAAAGACAAGAAAGAAGGAAAGAAGGAAAGAAGGAAAGAAGGAAAGAAGGAAAGAAGGAAAGAAGGAAAGAAGGAAAGAAGGAAAGAAGGAAAGAAAGAAAGAAAGAAAGAAAGAAAGAAAGAAAGAAAGAAAGAAAGAAAGAGAAAAAGAACAGACTGGGAGAGAAATTTTGCAAATCATCTATGATATGGGACTAGAAAATATAAAGAGCTACTACAATTTAGATTTAAGACAAATAGCATTAAAAAAAAAACAAATAAAACAGTTGGGCATAGTGGTACACACCTGTAATCCCAGCACTTGGAAGGCTGAGGCAGGAGGATCACATGTTTAAGGCCAGCTTGGGGCACACAGGGAGCTGAAGGACAGCTGGGATCATATAGTGAGAACCTATCTCAGGATAGAAGGAAAAAAGATAAAAGATCTGAACAGACATTTTTCAAAAGAAAATATACAGATAGCCAACTGCAACTGCGCATGAAAATATACTTGGCATCATTGGCTGTCATGGAAATGCAAATCCAACAAACTACAGTGTCACTTCATACCCACTAAGATGGCTATTACCAAAAAATAAAGAATGAGTGTTAGGATGTGTAGGCATTAGATCCCTTGTATCTTTCTAGCAGGAATATAAATGCTGTTTCTTTGGAAAACAATTTGGAGTTTTTGTCAAAAGATTAAACAGTTTCCATGTGATCCAGCAATCCACCTCAATGTTTATACCCAAGAGAAGTAAAAATGTATGTCTACACAAAAACTTTTACATAAATGTTCATAATAGCATTACCTAAAAAATAGCAAAAGAAAATCTCCCTTGCAAATAACCCAAATATCCACTAATTGATAAATGGATAAGCAAGATGCAGTATGTAATAGAATAGAATTCCATTATTTACTATGTAATATTAAAAAATAAAAGAAGCCTGGCATGGTGGCACATGCCTGTAATCCCAGCACTCAGGAGGCTGAGGCAGGAAGATTGTTGCAAATTTGAGACCAGCCTGGGCTACAAAGTGAGCTCAAGGCCAGCCTCAATGAGACCCTGTCTCAAAAAGATGAATGAATGAATGAATGAATAAATAAATAAATAAATAAATAAAAATTTTTTAAAATGAAAAGGAACTAAATTCTGATCCATGTGACAACACAGATAAACCTTATAAACATCACACTAAATAGAAGCCAGGGGCAAAAGACTATATAATGTATGTGTCTTAGTTATTTTTCTCTTGTTGAGATAAAATACCTGACACCCAAAGTTAAAGGGGAAAAGTTTATTTAGCTCACAGTTTGTAGAGGTTTCAGTCCATAGTGGGCTGGCTCCAAGGCAGGGTGGCATGACAGACAGGCATCAAAGAGGAGAAAGCGTTTATGGCAGGTGTAAAGTAGCAAAGCAAGCAACAAAGACGACAAGCCTCTTTCTGTCCCTTATATTGTGTCCAGGCTACCAAGATTAGGGTGCTGCTAAACCAGTCAGTGGAGTAATTTAATAATCACTCACCTTAATCCTAGCACCCTTAATCCTGCTTTGCACTATGAATCAGTCACACACTCTAGAATCAGCCACCTCTAAAAAGCTCCACCTATGATTGCATGAGGCTTTGGGGGGACATTTAGACATGATTCTGATTATGTGAAATGTTCAGAATAGGTAAATTCAGAGATAGTCTAGTGGAGAAATGGGGAATGACTGCCAGTAGGTAAAGAGTCTCCTATTAGGGTATTAAAATGTTCTAAAAATGATTGTGGTGATGGTTGGACAACTGTCTATATACTCGTTTGTTTTTAAAAATTGATAATAGTAGGCTGGGCGTCGTGGTGCTCTACTGTAATCCCAGCACTCCGCTGACTGAGGCAGAAGGATTGCTGCGAGTTCAAGGCCAGCCTGGGCTACAAAATAAATTCAAGACCAGGCTGGGGCCCGGGGATATAGCTCAGCGGCACAAGCACCTACCTGGCAAGCGCTAAGGTCCTGAGTTCGATTCCCGATACAAAAAAAAAAAAAAAAAAGAGAGACCAGACTGGGCTACACAGTGAGACCCCTGCCTCAAAAAACAAACAATGACAATTTTAAAAAAACTTTTAAAAATTGATAATAGCAACCACAGCAAGAATTGGAAAGGTTGTACCTGATAAGTCTCATGGTTGAGTCACTGCATCTGAAAAAAATCCAAATTCACACCTAACTGTAAATGTGAGTTGAATCTTGAAAGAGTCGCAAACTTTGAATTTGCTTATAAACAATAAATCTATTTGCAAAGGAGCGCTGTACTTGCAAGGGATAATCTCTAAACAAAGCCAAAGCTGTATATCAGGTTTTAGAGAGACGGGCCTTTAGGAAGTGGTGGTCTTTTCAAGAAGTTGGAGTATTTAGCGGACTCTCAGGTACTTTAGGGAGGTCACTGGAGCAAGAGAGCTGATAACTGGGTATCCTTCAGAAGGCTGGTCAGTGGAGTGACGTGGAAGCTGATTGGCTAGTGCCTAGAAACCTAGCGCTGTCAATGATTGGCTAATTTTAAGGAATCCCATTGATTTTCTTTCAGAAGCTGTGGATGACTGGCTGATTTTGAGAAACATAAACCCGGAGTGAGACTGTCGTTGATTGGCTGATTTTCAGAGCTTGTGTACTGATGTTTTTTCTAAATAATGGTGGTTACTCATTCACGACTTGGGACTAGCGTCAAACAAATCTTTTCCTTCCTTAATATGAAAAACAAGTCCTTTAAATTCCTACCCCTTCTTTTAGTTTCTCCTCAGCTAAACCTGCGGGAGACACCACGGGGATTACCGATGGGATTTTCACGTGTGGAAGGAGGCTTTTCAGACTGTCATTTAAGTAATTCAAGTGCCAATTACTGTGGCGCAAAAACAGCCCTAGATAATTATTTTAACACCAAAAAAAAGATGAATACAGGTATTTAAGTATCCTGACAAAGTCAGTACATGACAGGGGCAAAATCATTAGGTCCTGTATATACAGGACACCTGGCAACCTGTCAATGAAATATTTTCCTCTATACTACACAGAAAAGGACCGGGGCTCGGTGAGATTGTTTCTGGTGTGGCGCCCCGCAGCCGGAAATAGGTCGAACCAGGACTAAACAGCGAAGGACAGGATCCTCCGGGATCCTGTGAGCACCTAATGCCCATGCTTTGCTCTGGGCTGAATGCGCATCGCTAACCCCAGGCCTGCTTGGAAACAGCTGGGTGCCTGAAGGATGCGTGCGACCCTGAGGAGCAGCTGTGAGAAGTCAGCCGCGAGGCACCCTCCGGGGAGGTCCCCTGAGGAAAGCCCGGATCGGAGCGGGGGGAGGTGAGGGTGCGGCGTCCGGCCGCAGTGTAGATGCAGCGGAATGCTGCGCTGGAGGCCAGGCCCGGGGGCGGGGCTGAAACGAGGCCCCGCCCCCGAGCGCGTGCGTGTGCGCGGCGGGGGGCGCCGCACAATCCTCCTGCGTGGTGAGGCGGCTGAGGACGAGGCACAGCCGTGCCCCGGCATCCCTTACCCTCCGCACCCCAGTCCCCCACGTCCGGCCCAGTTGCCTCGCGGCCTAAGAGGGCGCGGCCCTACGCCACCCCCACCCCCAGGCCGTCCCACCGCCCCCACAAGCGCTCCGCGCGCGCCCGCCCCACCCCCGGCACGCCCCCCGCCCCGCCCGTCCGCCGGGCCTCGAGCAGCCCTGCGGGCCTGCGCGACCCTCGCAGCAGCGCCGCTCCTCCGCCTCCGTCGCCATGGACGTGTACCCCTCGCACTGGCTAGGGCTGCTCCGCACCCGGTCCCCTGGCGGCTTCGGCCGCGGGTCGCCTTCCGTCAGGTACGCGGGGCCGAGGCCGCAGAGGGGCGGCGGGGCGGGGATGCGGGGTGTCGGGGTCCCGCGACGCCTCCCACCGCAGGGCGTGGCCCGACATGGCTTCCTTGCGGACGCGTCCTCGGGACGGTTACTGGAGGAACGTTTCCCGGAGAGGCGCCATCTGCAGAGGTTCCTGGGGTTGGCTGTTCTGTAGACGATCCCACAGCGGTCCCCGCGAAGGCCCCCTATTGTGACATCTCCACGATCATAGGGCTTTCTCCCGAGAAAGAGTCCCCTGTAGAGAAACCCCGGTGACTTCTCCATGACTGACTTGCCTACGCCGTGGCACGCCCCCCCCCCAACGGCTGCCTCTATAAGACATTTCCCTCACACAATAGGTCCCCCGTAAAGAACCGCAAATGGGTGTCCCTCAGAAGCGGCGTGCCTTAAAGCCCCGCTATTGTAGAGTCTAGAGCCTTTGCTTTTGACAGCGGCTTCCCTAAAGATTACCCCCGCCCCCTGCGTACTTGCAGACAGCATCTTCCCTATTGAGAATCCCCCACCTGCCCTCCCCCAGCCTGGATCGTAACGCCCCCTCATTCCAGATGGGAGCTTGGGTTGTGGGGAAGCGGAGGTCATTTGGGGCGCAGGAGAGAAAACTAGCCAGATAGATAGGGAAAAGTCATCCGAACCTCCGAAATGCCAGGCCCCTGAGCCCAAACACAGACCGCCTGGTTGGCCGGCAATGCGGAGGATCTGCTACTGGGGAAGAGTCTGCTGCCTGTGTCTTTGGGGCTGACCTTGATACAGTAGCCTGGTTGTTTTTGATGGAGCTGGTATGGGGTCGCTAGCGAAGTGTGGAGGTTGGAATGATGGAGGGGTTGCAGCAGAGACCTTAGGGGGCGGGGAGAGCGAATGAGTGAGCAATGAGCTTTGGTACTGCTAAACTGTCATTAAACCAGAAGAAGGATTTCTTACTTGTTTGCTTTTTCATTATTCTAGACACTTAGCAAAGCAAATATGGTATTGTTCCCTTGAAAGGAGATTGTCAACTTATATGTTAAATAATGACTTTCCTGTGTTGTTATGGTACTTCAGGTATTCTACATATTAATCTGTTCTGGGAGGTTGTTTTAAGTAGACCTGAATGCATGAAAAGCAAAAACTAAAAAAAGAAAAAAAGAAAAAAAAAGCAGAAGAAAGAAAAGAAAAGAAAAAACTAATTCTTAGAATTGTGACCCTGTTTTACTTGCCAGCATTCCTTCCCACACAGTAGCGCTCCCCCATATGTTTGTTGAATGAATAAAGGACGGAAGAGGAGTCCTGGTTTTCTTCTAATTTGACATCATGTGAACTCTTCTGCCCTTTAATGCAATTCCTTCTGGACTTAATTTCGAGTGTTTAGCTGTTGTGGCAACCATCTCCAGTCCATCTCACCGTTTCTGCCAGACATTTTCACTGTTTGAAAGTATTTGAACTTTGTATAGAAGTTGCAGAGAATACTTTAGACCTCGGAGCAGCCATCCATTAAATCTAGGTTCTCTGTAGACTTGGAATTTGTCCCAGATCATCTTGAGCTCAGCAATCTTGACTTAAGTTTTTAGAAACTTCTAGGATGAGCAAAGTCAATTTTATAGTAAATAACTAACTGCTGGGGCTGGGGATTTAGCTCAGCGGCAAAGCACCTGCCTGGCAAGCACAAGGTCTTGAGTTCAGTTCCCAGTACCGGAGAAAAACCAAAAAAAAAAAAAAACTAACTGCTGCCTTCTTTGTTTCTGGGAGCATGGCAGTATGTTTTTTTGTGTGTGTGTGTTTTTTTTTTGTTTTGTTTTTTTTAGGTAGTGTTTTTATGTTAAAAAAAAAAAAAAAGCATGTTGGCTGATTTTATTAGTCATGCCTAACTCCAAATCTTTCATCAGTGGTTTGAATGAAACCTGTTAGATTTCAGACAAGGAGTAGTGCGAGTAGTAACACCCAGACCTGGCTAGTCTGTGCCTTTACTCTCCTTTCACTACCTCTATGGAATTGGGCATGCTTTTCTTATCTATTGACACTTATCCATTTTTCCATCACTTTTGACATTGAACATTCCTAAGTGGCTTTGGGCTTCGCCTTTTCCTGTCACCTGTATGTGGCCTCTTTGCTATCTTTGACTCCTGAGTGATGAAAGAAGCAGGCCAAACTGGTGAAGTTACATTCCTCAAGACCCATACATAGACTTCTCAAGAGCGTGGTTCTCGTCTAGCAGCAGAGTTCATTTTCACAGATGGAGAATGGAGATCAAGAGTTAAAATATTATTGCTCAGAATTAGAGGCTTCTTTTTAAGGCTATGATAGTCATCAGTGATGTCTATCGGATGTTTTTGTCTCCTGAGCGCATAGTAGAATTGTACTTCTATATTCTCAGGCACATAAAAAGGATAGTCTTCAGCTGAAAGTGAATGGTGGAGAGGTGTTCCAAATTTGAGAAGAAAGAAGATGTAAAGTTCCTCTCGGAGAATGGGGAAGAATGAGTTGAGGGAGGAAATGCTTTAGGACTGCTGGGTACACAGGTGCCCGTTTGGTGTTTGTGGTTATAAATGTAAGGTGAGACCCAGGTAGCATAGTTGTGTGCTTTCCATACAGTTGTGATGAATAGCTTGAATGTGTGTGATGTGGGAAGGAATGGCTGAAGGATAGAGGGCAACACTTTTGGAGAAGAGGAGTCAGAACTGAGAGGTGAAGATCGTGGTGCAAAGTGAGATTAGTGTGAGTTAAGGTAGGAGTGGTAATAAAGAGAGACAGTGATCCAGAAGTTAAAATCTTTAGGGAATAAGGAGGCCTGAATGATTTAGGAATCTGCAGATGTCTGCAACAAGGAGCGATAGCAGGTGGTTATCATTTGATGGCATGAAGAAATCATCCCCAAGACCGAAAAACCCTAAGAACCAAAGGGCATGAGTTTCCGTCTTAAAAGGACTCATCAAGAATCTAGCACAGTATACATGCCAGGGCTGGGGGTGTAGCTCAGTAGTAGAGCACTTGCCTAGCATGCTGGAGGCTTAATATTGGGGGGGAAAAATTAGATTCTATCTATCAGGATTGAAAGTTAGAAGATAATGAAGCAAACAGTGCCTCCTGAAGGAAAATGGGTTCCCATGCAGGATTCTGGATCCAACCAAATTCTCAGATAGATTTGAGGAAAGGATAAATACACTGCACATATGCAAGATCTCAAAATTTTACATCCCATATATTTTTTATGAAGAAGCTACTGGAGGATGTGCTTTGACTGTCGGATTAAAGAGTTCCTGTGCTGGGGCTCCTCTGTATCATGTATAGGTGTAATTTCTTGCTTACTAAGGGACTCCTGGAAACTACCAATGGGATGGGGTCATTTTTAATTGCCATTTTGTACTTTGCTTCCCCTAGTTTTTAGATCAGTATTAAGCACATAAGCAGTACTAAGTATGAAGTGGTATTATTAGTCGTAATAAAATACTGCTTTCACTACTTATTGAGTGCTGGGGATATAGCTCAGTGGCATAAGCGCCTGCCTGGCAAACACAAAGTCCTGAGTTTGATTCCTGGTACCAAAAAAAAAAAATCACTACTTATTGAATGAATAGAAAATACTTGCAGGTCAATCTGTGGATTATGTTAAATTTCATGGGTGTTCAGAGAATGAAGTCACATTTGTGAGCTAGGTGGTGAGAAAGTGTTCATGATAGTGATGCTATACTGAGAACACTGGGTGACATTTAATGAGACCTTGTCTCAAATACAAAAATAAATAGATGAATAGATAAGAACACATACATATAATGCACACATGCATGTAAATACACATGCAAAGACAAATATGCACATGCACATTAGTACACACGTATGTGAAAGTACGCACATGAAAATGCACGTACATGTGGAAACATGTATACATCAAAGTGCACACACATCAATATGCACAAGTATGTTGAAATACATGTCAGTAAGAACACATGTGTTGATAAGAATACATGTCAATGCACATGTCTTAACACACACGTGTCACTAAGAATTCACATGTCATCATCCATCCATGTCAAAATGCATGTACATGTCAGTACTCCCATGCATGCTAAAACCCCCATACATGTAAATATGCCTATACATGCATACACACAAACTGAGGATGTAGCTCAGTCCTGGACTCAATCTGCAGGAATATATGTGCACACATGCACACACACCCACACAAAGAAAGAAAAAAGAAAACCCAAAATGCAAAGCAAGATGATGCCCTTGATTGTTTGAAAAATGTGACAGTTGAGCCTGTGATATACTTCCTTAGATGCTGACCAGCTAGGTTTGGTGTGGTTCCTGTGGGAAAAAAAACACATGCTTAGTTAACCTTTTATGGCTTTGTGTCTGGCTCAGGGGTAGAGGCCTAAGTATTTGCCTTTTACTGTTATCTGGAAGACAGTATACTGTAGACTCATTTTGTGAGTATCCTGGCGTGAATACTGCACAGTATCTTGACAGTATTTCCTAGCTTTGGAGCTGCTCTCTAATGTAATATTTAGAGAAGGGAGAGTAAATGATGAGAGTTGTCTTGCCATGTGGGCTATACAGTTTAAATTATTGTTTTTGCCTTGAAATGTAAAAAGGAAGGGAAAAGCAGGCTTTGCAGTTTGGGTACTTAAAACTGGTATCTGTGATTATAAGCCCTAGTCTGAGGTTCATTCATTTGGCATACTTCTAACTTTTTGTTTTGAAATAATTTTAGATTTGTATATGAGTTGCAATTACGGTGCAGAGTATTCCTGTATACCTGTTGTGTGACTACTTTTAATGTTAACATCTTACGTATAATGTTGAATGCCAGTACAATAAAGTATGCTGGTTTATTTTTTTTTTTTTTTTTTTTT